CCGTGTTTAGTTGAATTATTGAACCCCTTCCTTCACCCTGGTCATAGAAATTGAGGGAACATCAAGCTATCTTATTATCCGCTATTATATTAAGGGCATATCCGCTCTCTGCTGATAGTTTCCTGTTTTCCCAAGTTCTTACCTCGTCTCCCCTGGTCTTTACCCCCTTCATCCCTTCCCTCTCCTGTTTATAAGGCATAACCTCCTGGTCTTTAGCCCCTTCCCATTTTCTCCGTAATTTTCAAGTCCGTCTTACATCTTCTCCCCCTGGTTTCTACCCCATTCCCTCCCCCTGATCCCCGCAAGGTTCAAGTGTCTCGTTGATATTTCGCCTTTTCTTATTTTACTTTAATTGCTGCCTCGTCAGGAAGTTGTACACGTGTGGGTTAGGTCGTCCTGTGTGGGTCTCATTAATGTACATCTCATTAACTTAACTAGTGGGCCTCATTAATGTGCATCTCATAACCTTAACTAGTGGGCCTCATTAAAGTGTATCTCATTAACTTAACTAGTGGGGCTCATTAATACCTCCCAAAGCGGGCTTCCTGGTTAAAGGGTTGTTAATCATTATATTTAAGCCCCAAGCTCACTCATGTTTTCTACTTTTCTACGGAACATTACATGTAAATAATCGTTAAGGAATTGTCTCGGTGTTCGTGGGTTGAATTGACCCACTCTAATTGGTGTTGAATTCCAACTTATGTGTTCAATACATTTTATAGATATGTTTGAAAGCTACTGTATGCTTACGCCCTCCTTTGATAGCCTCTCATAGGGCAGCTTTTGCTACTGAACAAAATACTGTTTAGGTTCTCAGTAGCATATTATTACCTATACCAGCATTACATATTACATATCTTCTCCTAAAACCGATCAGCTTGCCGGTTTTCAATAGAGCTTTCTAAAAAATTATCAGATATTCAGAAATGCATATTTTCCTGCTTGAAAAGAATTGCACTCACTTTGAAATGCAGCTTTATTGTGATGCGAAAAATGTTCTCTCCAGCGTCCGCTCGAATGAAATTCATTGCATCAATTTAGCTACCGTTGAAAACTTTCATTAGTTAATAAATAAAAATTTTTTATTTACATCAATTATTTTATAAGTAAAATGTGCTTGCTCTCTCTCGCATTCATTTCTCAGGAGGTAAATTTTTATTAATTTTCAACAAGAAAATCTCCTTGCAATTCATCACTTATTTACAAATCTTAAAAATTCCGTTTCCACATAGGAAAATTTTCTCCATAACATTATTTTGTTATAGAAAATTAAAAATTTCTTGAGTGGTTTTGGAAAAAATTATGGAAAAAGAAAAATTTCTCATAAAAAAAATTTCTTGAGTGGTTTTCGATCAGAAAAATGTTTTTATTTTCATAAGTTTTTGCGAACGAAATTGTTATTCTCTATAATTTTTTCGAAGCACAATATTCTTTTTACGAGTTCTTCATTGGGATATTTCTTCTCCATTTATGAAAGTCTATATTTTTGTCGCAATGAATTCAGATGATGAACAAAGACAGTTTTTGGTGCTCGTTCACACTCAATTTACGAATTATTAAAGAGTTGCTTGTGTATTTATCCGCCATATTTGTTTACTGGGCGAAGGCGGGAAGCTCAGTAGTCGCCGCGCCGTCGTGGGGGGCGGACGTCGCGCATAGCTCTTAAGTTCGCTGGCAACTCCTCACGCAGAAAAATTGCGAGAGAGTTTGTCCAAATAGCGATGCACTTCTTGCCCTTGTGTGGGCCAGCCTGACACAGTCTTGACGTATCAGTGCTACATGCAGAAAGTGTGTCACTACTTAGACAATATGACCCATTCATTTGTAACCTCTTCATTCCATGTGTTACTGTTGAAGGGAGTCTATGTATCATAGATTATTCTCATTACATCTACTGATATTATTTATTAGTTCTATATCGTGTCGATGTAGAGTGATTGATATTATCTGATGTGTATATGTGCCGGCTATTGCCGCCATTTTGTTCTGTCCCGGGTTAAGGACGCCATCTTGAATATCATGCGCAGTCGGCAGCTCAAATAAATACTTATTACCTCAAAAATTGTATTTATTTTCAGCCCGAAATTATTGGTTAAGATAAATTTTCAGTACAAAAAGAAACGAGAATTGATCTACAACTTGAAGCGTTGTCAAATTCATCCTCGGGATAAATTGTTTTCGAAATTTCCTAATTTTGAACATCATCTTTGTAATTGGAGATGTTGCTCTGTATTGGGTAGGTATCGATTATCACTACATTGAGGGCACAGCCGTGGCCTGCAAATTTAACTCATAAATGAGCTTTGGAGTCAACGCCCAGTCGTGGGGCCCTCAACTACACTCTTCCTCAGAGCTACGAAGCTGCAGTCCACGCCGGAACACAGTAATCCAGACCAAGGGCAGACTGTTTGAAGCTATAGCCGCCGTCAGTCCAAAGCCACTGCTAAGCATGCCCAAGTTGAGCATGGTCATGACCGCATCTGGCTTAACCTCTCCTGGACTAACCGACTCCAGCCTAATCTAATCACGTGGCCCCGCCTCTCCACCATCTTCCAGCCAGTGACTGGTTCTGTCTGATCACTTGCTCCGCCTCTCCACCTTCACAATGAAATGTGTTTGAGTGGAATGATCATGAAAGTTGAGTTACTATAAATTCCCCGTTCAGAGAATCACAGGTTGGGGGTGGGGATGGGGAGACGTCAGGGCTTTGGAAAGTTTGTTGGAGGAGTGATGGTAGGTGGTGCTGTCATTTTCCGCTTAAACTAGTGTCTATGAAGGCGTTTTTGATAACTTATTAGCTTTGCTTCTTCCGAGTGTTTGACTTCTGTTGGACTAGGGGGTTATCGAGGCGTCCACATGTCAACTGGTAGACACACTCTACGTCTATTGAAATTTTAAGGGAGTCTCCATATGTTCAGTTCGAGGGGTTGTCGAGTACTTATGTGTTCTCCTACCCAGTTAAAATTTAGGGCAGGGAAGTGAGCAAGCCGTTGCCGGCTGCAGAGCCGACGTAGAGACGCGACAGATCCGCGATAGAGCAGAAATGTCCGCTTTAGAGACGATATCGCCAGCCGCGTATCAGCGTTAATTAGCTTCTGAGAACCTGCTTAGGTGTGCTCTGTCCTGCCGTCACGCAGCCCTTACTGAGCACCGCCTGCTCAAACCTGCCCAACGCCTGCTCTGGGGCGGCTCTGGCAGTGTATGCGGCAGTTACGCGTCACCGTTTTGTCAACAACGACTTAAAAAAATTGTTCCTTCTCTCTCTGAGATCACCTAGACTTCTCTCTTGCAATGACAGGTTGTATTGACATTGATTACTGACATTCTCATCGTATTGACATTAGCAACGTAATTTAGAATACAACAAATTCAATTATCGAGGAAATATACACATCAAATTACTCACCGCTATGCACTATCAGCAAACGTCGACTGAAGCTCTGGGATTCGAACGCAGATTATCCGCGTCGTAGTTCGCGCCTGTACCAGTTGGCCACGCGAACACCTTACCAGCCTAGGCTCTATGAACTACTTAACTATAATACAGAACAAATGACTCCATCATCTAGCAAATCGAGGAATAGCTATATTTGTGGTTGAATTCGTATGATCCCGTCAGCTAGATGTGAGTATTAGAGCTAAATTTGTTTAGTAATTTATCTTATTGCATTAGCTTCATGTCATTCGATAGTTTGATAGGAAAATTAACAACGTACGCAAATCATTAGTCTACTGAAATAGCAAGTTCTCCAAGAATTTTAATGCAAAGAAAGCGCCAAATAAATTTACCATATCTTCAATGAAAACGTTTCGGAGACCAGAACCGAAACGCAGGGACAGTCGATCAATTTAATGAACCGATGATGGTGCTGGTTTACACATTTTCATTGAAAATATGGTGAATTTCCTCGGTATTTTCTTTGCTCTAACATTTACTGTTATTAACGCGTTTTCTGTATATCCATGTTAGAAAACTTTCTCATGATAAACTGATTGATATCTCGCTTTAGCAAAGCGTGAATGACCTTCAACGTTTCTGTTAGAGTGTTAAAACTGGAAGAGCATATAAAATTCCTACGTAATTCGAAGTATTAAAATACTGACGTGAAATAAATATCACAAATGGCACCGGAAATTGGCCGAAAATATCGTGCTATGCGAATGAACTAGATGGAGGATGAAGTTCATTCTCCCGTCACTGTTTCCAACCCCTACACTCCTCCCTCTCTCAAAACACCCCCATGCACGGCCTGCTTAGCTGCTCTGTACAGCTCCCTGCCGGGCAATCCCAAGTACCAGCGCTAAAACAGCGCAGAGTTCCGTCCCTGCCGAGATGCTAGAATTTTGTCTCTATATCAGCCATGGCGCAGCGCCGTTTTAGGGATAGATGGCCGGTTATAGTTTCACGGCTCCTAAATGATATATGTATCATTTTAAAAGAAAGTGGTAAACAGCTGTTTACCACTTTAATCCTGCGAGGCTCGCATCTGACGTTGTATTGCTCATGTGAACAGTCTGAGTCATAAAGTACTTTCGTGTCGGAGACGGAACTTGAGACTGTATAACCTGGGAATGCTCGCTGGTGCGGTATGAGTCCCTTAATTAAGGTCTAACTCTTGCTGAACGCTCAGTTAATGCCAATTGCCCAGTGGGGCAGACCGTGTGAGTCATGTGACAAAGCTGGGTTAGCGTGTAATGACCGTGTTAAATATCGGAGAGTGAAACATGGAACTGCTCTCACTGTTCAGTGAATCAATGTTCGGAGACCAGGTTACATAATCACCGACACTTATATATATGTATCAGACAAACTGGTAACACTTGATCAGACTAGATCCGTGCAAATATTAGGACAATATTGCGTACTATATTTTGTAGTATTGTCCGGGTGTCTTTTCAGTGACACTAGGGACCAGTTGTGATTAACTGAAAGGGCTGAGTTAGTTTCCGATCAAATAATTATCCCAATGATATAAAATGGATGAATGAAACAAATCAAAGAGTTGCAACTCTAAACCAGTAATTATTCAAGATAAGTCACCCTGAGGTGTTAGTATGCTAATAAATCGGGTAGCTAAATCGACAAGTTCGGGAGTGAGACAAGCGAGTGTCGGAGCCGTCAAAACGTAAGTGGATGCGTATGCGACTGACTCATGGGATGCTTGAGGAGCTTGTATAGATTTACTACAATGACGTCACGGAAGGTGACGTGAGTAATGCTACTGAAGGTAAGGGTGGTGACGTATAGTTTAATGTTACAATACTACTTGACACGTCCCTTTTGCAAAAATGTAAATGGTACTCGATAAAAATTTAGGAGCATGTACGATTACGTTAAAGTGAACGTGCTGGAGCAATGGCTCTTTACACACGTAAAATAATGAAAGAGAGGTAAATAATAACATTGACAACAAATAGCAGTATGTAAGCTAAACTTAACCTTACTAAAGCACTAGTTCATTAACTAAGTGAATCAAAATCATAATCAGCTAACAGGTGCCAACGGGCGCAAAGTAAAACTTTGAGAACTAGAAACTCAAAACCTAATGAGTAACTTAATTCTATACTCTAAAGTCCTAAGAAGTTCGGCGCTTGGTTGCCAGATCTTCGCACTTCTTTCTTCTGATGGCTTCCTTGAGGACAGTGCGTCGCTCGGAAGTAGAAGAATACCATTAGTTTTTCTAATATCAGTAGACAATATAGTAACCTAATCCTAAAACATAATTCTTCAAGTGGGTAACTGAAGTGGATCATTCAGTTAATCGGGATTGGTTGCGCATATTGTTCATCCACGTAGTAACCGTTTCCTGAGTTAGAATTTTTTTGAGGTTTCAAGGCAACGGGCCCTGCTAATTCCGGTAGGTAATCACGGTCCGCCATGTTCGAAACAGGCTACGAGTCAGACTTTGCTCTTCGACCATTATTGACCACCCTCAACCACGTTTTCTATCCACTCTTTGAATGGATGGACAGCAGTGTAAATAGTCACTGGCTGATCACAGCCTTCTCTGTCCACGGAGGCGGACACCACGCCGGACACAGCCCAGCTCTCTTCGGCGTCAGAGCCAAGGTTTTCCATGTACGGCCCTCCTGATGAACCCCCAACCAGCTTCTTGTTTTTTTCTGATTGGATATCCGAAACAAACCACAGTAAGTAGTCAAATAGTGTCTATTAAGACGTAATGAATAATTTCAATACAAAAGAGTCAGAAACAACTTTTATTGCTATTTGATTGTGTACTGAGGTGTATGACTAGGTAGAAGCCACAAAAGGGGAAGAGAGAGCCATACAGGTTACACATAGCTGTTCCAGTACAATTATTATACTTATTCAAACAATTCTCTGTAAAACGATTGAATGCATCAAGTTAGTACCATAAGCGAGTACCACGAGTGAGCACTTTAAATTTACACCTCATGTGAGTACCAGAAGCGAGTACTTTATGGGAGTACTCTTAGAGAAACATCTAGTGATTACCTCAAGGGAGCACTCCCTATCCTTTCAAGAAGATAATAACTACGCGATATTAAGACAAGCTTTCCGTTTAAAAATATGCTGAGATTCCCAAACACTGACGGACACTGTCCGTGTGTTCCAAACGACCTGTCCTTTTGTAACTCTAAACACCATTTTTGAATCATGCAGCCATCATTTTAATATAAATGAACTAGGTTAATATCTATCTGATGAAATTAATTTTGAACGTTTTGTGCAGCAATAAATTACACAGTATCTAGCTTTAGTTCGCGAAATAGGCACTCATTACATTTCACACATAAGGAAAAATCCTTAAAAGATTTATCTTGAAACAAAATGTTGCTCACTGAGGAATTCAGGCTAGAGCAACACGTCTCTCTGCTACGTCAATCTATGCACTAACTTGTGCGATATTATTAGCTGAGACTTTTGCTTCAATATAGCTTTTGAATATACGATATAATTGATCTTCCCCAACGTACTCCACTTTCTCACAATAAGATCTCGCTTAACTGCTTCAGATGAGGCAAAGATATCAACAGTCTGGAAGAAATCTCTCACCAAGAGCGAGGCCACAGAACTGCGTGTCCTCGATGGGCCAGGACTGGCACCGCGGGGCGGGACCGTGGCAGTCCGGGTCCCGCTCCTGCCACACCTTATCGTACTCGTGCCTTGACACGTCGTTGGCGCGACTGAACGCCTGCTCGGCAAGGCTCATCATGAGCAGAGGTGGGCAGTAGCGCGCTACATGTAGCGGTAGCGGTAGCGGCGCTACATTTAAGGCAATGTAGCGTTTAGCTGTAGTGCCCGCTACATATTTAAGTAGCGGTACGAGGTTTTGCCGCTACAGCGCTACCGCTACATTTTTAGATAAAGCCTTTTGATTTTACTTAAAAGTATTAAATATTTTGTAAAAACCAGCATGATACATACATAACATAAATTACAGAATAAAACTACGAAAAAGAATTCGGTGTAATGTTGTCAACCTCAGCCTGTTACTATATAGTGTCAACATGTTAGTTGTTACTTGTTAAGTTGTTACCAGTTACCACTTACAGGTTTTTTTTCATGTTTCAGTTTGCTTACAGTTATTTTTACACAGTTATTTTTATGTTTCACCTTCCCTACATGGATGTCTACTTTAATCTACCAATCTCAAAAATAATCCACATATCTATATATATACAAATAAAAGACTGATTTTTTATATGGATATGTGGATAATTTTTGAGATTGGTAGATTAAAGTAGACATTCATGTAGTGAAGGTAAAACATAAAAATAACTGTTACTTTTATTTACTGTATCTAACCCGTACTAGTTCTGTTAGGTTAATTGCAAAACAAGTTGCATTGCTATATTTTGAACATGCTGTGTTATTATAAGATGTTTATGAGTAAATCCCAATAGCAGAACAATATATATTTAGAGATTTCCAATAAATTTGGTCATTGTAGCGGCTAATGTAGCGGCGCTAAATTTTACTGTAGCGGTAGCGGTAGCGCTCGCTACAATCTAGAGGGTGTAGCGGTAGCGGTAGCGCCCGCTACATTTAGAGCATGTAGCGGTAGCGCCGCTACATTTCGAAGTAGCGCTACCCAGCTCTGGTCATGAGTTTGTTGTTCACGAACAGGAACTCGTGAAATATTTTCATTACTGTACCATTCAGCAACGAAATAACCGTTTTCATTATCGTGGCAATGATCGTTTTTATGCAAGTGAGCTCGATCGAGTAACTATCGCCATATTGAGGAGCCTGAATACGACCACCAAAAATACTCCAAACAATTTTATTTTAACGACAAATTCATAGTCCAAAAATCTATTTTAAACACAGGTGAAATGTTTACTCGGATTGAAAAAACATTTCAATAGAATGGTACGTGATCATATAGAACTACCAAAATAACTTGATTGTTTAAATTGCAAATTAACGAAGAATTTAAAAAATAAGATGGCACAGAAATCCACCATAGTTTTATAGAGAAAAGGACAATCTACAAAGTAAAAACATTGATTTCATAATCCAAAATTGAAACCCAGACATTAAAACCTAAAATTGACAATTCAACCTAAATAACACAGCAAGACTGGCCTATCTGTTAACAATCTCAAGGGGATGGGAATTGAGTGCGGAATTTGAGCTAGGAACATATCACCAAATAGAATATATTCAAATCTTCAAACAGAAGCCTAGCTTAAATCCCGCACTCAGTCCCCAACCCCGTGAGATTGTTAAAAGATTGGCCAGTTTCGCTGTGTTATTCTAGGCCGATTTGTCTTTCATTTATCTATTTTATATTTTAATGTCTGACTTTGAATTTTGGATCATAAAATCATTGAATTTACTTTCTAGGATCTCGAACTGACGATGGAGCTGGACCCTGAAACGTTTTCCTTCATAAAGATATGGTGAAATTCTGTGCCTCTTTCTTTTTTTTCAAATTCCTTATTCCTTGGTCAAAAAGAAAGTTATTTCAGTCAGAGTCTTTGCAGTTAATTCTACGACCAATAAGCTGTACATACCAGGGCTTTGGAGTTGCTGAGGACGCCTTCCCCGTAGAGTTCTATGCAAGCCGGGTACATTGTCTCGCTGAAGATAAACGGTTCCTCCAGCATCACGAGAGCGAGGTCGTTGAGCGGAATACGGCCGGGCTCGTAGTCAGGATGAAGTATTATTTTCGTCACCTGTTTATGGGCACAGATATCAAGTTTTAGTCTGTGCTTCTCATCTGCGTTACCGTTTGATGCTACGAGAACGAGAGCACTAGTGTCACCATGAAATTCAACGAAAAGTCTCGAAAAAACTAATATTTTTCATTAAATGCACGAAAGAAAGATAACTACGACTAACAATCATTATTATAAGAAGATAAGTCATGACAGGAAAATAAAACCCTACTCGTCTGTCGTTGCGCGGATCCGGTGTGTGCTGCACCTTCAGGTCACGAGGGTCCATTGTCACGTTTCGGCTCTCCAGCGAACTGCAGGACACAGTTGATGTATAAAATTACTGTTTGAACTGATAGCAATGACTAGATATTGAGGCACATACGCAACTGATGAGGAATAAAATTCAAAATAATTTTTACACATGCAGAAAAAATACAATTTTAGTATGGAGAGGAGAAAAAATACGGCATAATAATCTACAATCATACGAATGTGACAATCCTCACGGAATGACAATTCGGTGAAGGATTGAAAACACATAAGGAGTGACAATCCCCGGCTGTCAAACTGTCGCCGACTATCAGGGAAACTGACCGTTGCACCATTGCTTGCACCGCAAGTAGATAGAATATAGTGCGTGGCGGCTAATTTCAATCTACGTGTTTTTTTTTTGCTATTGATTCTGAACAATTAGTCAGGAAACTCAAATAGACGATGATGATTATTATTTGAATACCAGTGCTGGATCTAAATCCAATACAGGCAACGGGAAACATTTGCTAACCATTACATTGGCAGAACTTTGTAATGCTCAAAATTTTATTTTATCTGACGACCCATGATGAAGCAACAGGACTTTCAGATTAAAATGCTTTATTTATCACTAAAAAAATTGAGAGTACCTGGCGACGCAGTGCGCTGCCGTCAGCAGCCACGAGTCGCTGATAAGAGTGGCGCTGCACGCGTAGCGCTCCCGCTTCTTGAGTCCCAGCAGCCACGGATAGAGGTTGCGCGGGGCATAGTACTCGAACAGGTCTAATGTACGCCCAGTGCTCCGGTAGCGCGGCTTCCGTCCACAAACTGCGAAGGACAAACGAAAAAACATTCCGCAGCCCCTAGCAAGCAGTGGTTTGTTAGGGCTGTTCGAGTGAGAACGTAGAAGGTTGCGTAATTAAATTCAAAGTGCTGAGGAAGTTCAGCTGTAAAACGGTATGTCTAATTGCATTAGGAATTTCACCCCCCAAAATGTCTGGAGGATCAAATTATTCTACTTCTCAGTAATTAAATTACACATCGTTCACTCTGATTGGATTGCAACCTCCACAGACCACATGGCCGCTTTAGCCAATTGGATACCCCTCTGGAGCTCATGGAGACTGATGTCAGGGCATTGTGGTGTACCAGCGCGTGATACTACTGGTATCTGTTCAGCCACATAAAGATAAACTAGTTCAGTCACTGATGTGTAAGAAGTAAATTGTTAACTATTATTTTGCATTCAATTAGACTCATTCCGCATTTAAATAATTTCTTTCTTGTTAGAAGATAGTTCTTCCATCCCGATGTTGATAAACATATCCTTGTGTTAGCCTCTCTTGTTTTAGCAGGTAGAGACTAATCACCGTGTGACATATTTATAAGCTAGTATGAACCCGGAAGACGGCAATATAAACCTAGAACGAACGCGTAACGTTCTACTCATTTAGCACTCCAATCTATAACCTGGAAACCGATATACTCACTCTCAAGTATAAGCACCTTATTAAAAAATAACTCGTGCCTCATTTATCCTGATAGTCACGGTCCCCGAACCAACCTCAGGTGATAATTAATTAAATCAAATAAGCCTAAAGGTTCATAGAATAGCACAGCATGCAGAAGGAGGATCTTTTACTGCGCTATGGAAATGCTTAAGGTTAATGATAATTGATAAACTACTACGTGATTGAAGGGAAAAAAATGCTAAATCTATTTTAAGTTAAATCTAAGAACATAGCGACAGCTGGGAACTACCGAGGTTGTCCGCTAGAAGGAGATATAAGAAAGAGGTTGCGAAATTGGAGCTCAGTTTGAAGCCTGGTGTGACAAAAGATCAGCTGTGTGACAGTGAGTGCGAATGTGAGATAGGTGTTTGCTGTTGCAGCAAGTGGTAGTTAGTGATCGTTCGCGTGGTGATGAATAAGAAGTGCCTCTTGTAAACGACGAAGATTTATGAGCAGCCAGAAGCCTGTAGACTTAAGAGTACAGTTTGTTCATGTAAAGACGAACTAGTAAGGCTGCTTCAGGGCCACTAATAATGTCAAGTGCCACAACTACGACGAATCTAAAGCCACGTCTCAACTAATCTGTTAAGCCTGCCGACTGCGCTATACATGCTAAAGAAATTAGTCCATGACAAGCCAAAAGCCTGGCAACGTCATAAAAATCTGTAAGAGTGGAGGGCTTACTCGGAAAAACTCTTTATTTAATAGACTGATCGTTCTGAAACTTCATAAACGTACACTGTTAGAAAAAACGGTCGAAAAATGTGTAACACACGTTATATATCGATGCTCATTTACCGTAATCCGGTCATTCAGGTACTCTTCCTTTGTTTGTTGGACTTCAGCGCCCAGTGGTAGAGGGCGCCACGGTCATCAGTCGAGTTAATACCTAGACGCCATCTTGAGTGGCAGACATCACTTAAGTGCTAAATTTATTCAATTTTTTTTGCTAGTTTATACTAATTTTTGTTGTTGGCTGTGATTTTTGTACAAATGATAAGGTATTGTGTGTTATTCAGTTGAGTTGCTCATGTTTGTTCTCCTATTCTTTGAGTGTTAATACTTTCAGTTGCGTTGGTTCGACATAAGTCGATTTCTGAACTCTATAGACTAGAGCCAGCTAGAGATACTTTGCAGCGAGGTCGAGGATAAACAACCTATTATTCATTTTATTTTGATACTTTCAAGTGAGTTTCAGGATGTAGTGCTTCTATTCTTGTGGAATTCTAATAGTTTTTATTGAGGGCTTTGCCGAGTTGGGTGCAGTAGGTACTAGGGAGGGATGCGACCTGGGCGAATTGTGACTTCAGTCAGCTTAGTGACAGTGTCGTTGACGATTTACACTGCTCACAAGTCACAAAGTAATTTTTGTGAGAGGAAATAAATGAGCTGGTTCGAATATCATATTGTATTGAAATTTTTGCAAATGAAGCTTCCTTTTAAAACCTTGCTGACATTTTGGTTAAACGAGTGTGCCAGTTTCTTGAAATTATAGAATATAGCCTAGATGGCGCATCGAACCTAGAGTTCCGCTCTGATTAGTCTCTTTAGTTAACCAGTGAACTATATAACTAACTTAACTTGGTTGATACGTTTTGCTTACATCAATTTTATATGCCAAAACTTCAGCAGATTATTGCACAACTTGAAAATTGAATCTTACCTATCACCACTAAAACCAGTCACTAAATACTAAAAACCAGTCACTACCTATCACCAGTCACTAAATAAAGCAATACTTTATTCAGTCATAAAAAGCTACTTTTAGTCAGTTTTTTTCGTGACTGAAAATGTATTGCTTTATATAGTGAATAAATAAGTTATTGCTTTATTAAAAGATTAGTTGATTATTTAAAAATTTATTTATTATTAATAATGAAGAAATACATGCAACACTTCTATATTTGACTGAAGTAGCTTCTCTACTTCAAAGTCTAGGTAGGGGTGGTGGGATAATTGATAATACGTTGAAATCAAAAGCTCCGAACAATTAAGAGGTGGTACTTAACTAAATTATTATTCCAAATAAATCTTAATTTTTAATAATAATATAGTAATAGAAATTTTAACATGATACAACTGATAGGGTGACAATGCTCAATGCTGCCCAAAATGGAAGGGTGATATCAGTTTGTTTATGAGCATCTGACATGTTGACCTAAAATGTGATTCCAGTATTTAAAATACTAGAGTAGAAATATCTAAAAATTGGCAATTGGATAATTATGAGGATAAGATACAAATTGTGTGATAATTGCTGAAGTTTTGGCAAATGAAATTCATGCCAACAAAATCCATCAAGCAAGTTTAGTTATTTTTTAAAAATTCTGTTTAGTTCTTCACTGCACAAGTATATCTGTAAAAGACTGTAACGCTTGGTGTATGGTGTATGTTTAGCTGTTTCACAAATAAATATTAATTCCATTATTTTCTTTCCTCCCAATCAATTCAAAAAACATTAGCATGATTTTATTGATCTGAATTAGCCTCAGCTCTCCAGTTTCTCTAGTGCCTCATTTGAGGACAGTTCTTTTCTTGCATAAAAACCTGCATTTGATGCATCTCATCACAAGTCTGCATTGTTAATATATGTCACAACATTTTATTTCATTACAAGCCACAGAATAATTTCTGTTACAGTCCATTATCCCTCATTTCAATTTAAAAAAGAACTATTTAAGAAATTTATTTGTCAATTAGGCAAATAATTTTTCAAGTTTACATAAAAAATCATCAAGGAATGGTCCATAATGAAAAAGAAATGCACCTGGGCTTAAATTGGGAAGCACCCATGAGCATTTCTGCCTAAAAGTCCATACATTAGAAGTGCTGAAAAACATCCAAGAGTCTGGAGGAGTCTTCTTAAACAATTGAGTGCATGAGTATTGATTACCATGTACAATTCAAGTTTTTATATTATTTTATGCAATGCTCTATCCATAGAATATGCTTTAAATTGATAACTTAGGTGTATTGCATTGTGATTGTATTTTCTAGCAATGCTTGTTGAATCTAACATCACTAACAGTATAGTTAGTTTTATAATTTCTCAATTAAATTACAAATTTTGTACTTTAACATTAGAGTTATCATAATTATTTACAACACAATAACTATTTTCCAGCTGAATCACCTGCAGAGCCAGCAATGGGCATGGAGACAGAAAATCCCTACAAGAAGTTTTGCAGTACTTACTGCACTTCTCTGCATCATCATGGCCATCACACTCTGACTTATGACTGGATTCCTTAGACGTAGAGATGAAGGAGCTAACTCTTCATGTTAGCTTTCCATGAAAGAGGCCATACGACCCATGCTTTTTTTGTCTTGGTTTATATTCTGCACATTGTCAAAAATTTCACTAGTTTATTGAGACTATTCAAAGAAAATCAGTTCAGCTCTGAGAAAAAATATGATAATGAACTGTCGACTTGGTTCTGCTTCTATATTTGGATAATCATGTGCGTTGATGATTAAAACAGAGGTTGATTGTATTAATTCCATATTTTCCCTCTTCAGGACCGTCATTAGTGCACGCAGAGCAGCGCTGTCCTTCGGTCAGCAAATGCGAGGTGTCGTGCCTCGTGGACGGACTGGTGACGCTTCTCGCTTCCCACTACGCCACAGACGAGGAATAATTGAATGCAGTCAGCGCAGCTGTGGTATCTGAAGAGGTTTGTGATTCACTCTGTATATTGAGGTTCGGCAGTTTCCGCTTTATTAACGTATTTTAATGTATTTTAAAGCCGATATCAGGAATTTAAAACTTTAATCATTTGGACGTAATCGCCAAATTAAACAAGATAGGCATTTAATGAATTCAAATATTGATAGAACGAATCGAGTGGCTGATTTCACTGCTAATTATGGCAATAGCTCTCACAAATGTGCTCATACAATCTACTGTTTATGATACATTGATCATACTAAGGCCTCAGGCCCTCCATTCATTGATTTGAAATTCAGTGTTTTCCTTTTTCCAGGTGGAGGCTCCATCAGTTTTTATAAATGCAATTATTTTGAACTAACTTGAATAACTTTTGCAGGTACTCTGCGAGCCAAAATTCTCCATCCGCAGGAGTGCATCCAATAGTGACCACGAGGAGAGGTGTCGACTGGGGAATGTCTGCTTTTTGGCCCGACCGCGGAACCTACAGAAGCAAAGTGGCACGCAGCCTGGGTACCCCCACGGCGAAGATTCTGCTGAGTTCCTGGCACGCGCCCTCCAAACCCACGCTCATTCTTTCCCCGATTGTCTCTGCCCTTTCAGTGTAGACTCGTGAAGATGGCCCTGCTAACCCGCTTTGGTCATTTCTTTGCTAAAGTATTGGTAGGTGGCTGC